TCCATACATGGTTTTCCTCATTAATTGTACAATGTTATATTTTATTTTAACATTTTATTTATTTATGTTTAATTTATTCATTTACTTTTTTATTTAATGTTTTATTCTGTCACATAATCTCCATTTTCTCTTTGCAGGGGGTCTATTACAACCACAACGGAACCGTAGACGTGTCGTCGGAGGGCCACCCTCCACACCCTGAACTCAACCCCTGCCCCTCGGCGGCGCTGACTTAGACGGGATCTACCTCTGCGCGGCTTATGGTAGGATATCCTTCCTGATGACCATCAGCAACAACCTATTGTTTGCCATGACGTACAGCTGGGCAAGGGTGAAAAGAACAACTGTGGACAAATATAAGCTCCAGCTGTCAGTGGCCAACCTCCTGTGTGCTCTGGGCTGTGAGAGCATTCGACAGCTGGTACTTCAGAGGCTTCCTTTGTTCATCATTTTGAGCGGTCTACATGGCGAGCCTGAATGGCAGCGTCCTGATAATGGCCTTCATCAGCGCCAGACATGTCAAATAACCAAGTACAAACACTTTGTTACTGTACGTAGGCACACTTCTTAGCTGTCTATACTTTACTCCATGACTTATTTTTCTTCCTACTTCTGACTTCTACTCATTACATTTTCACACAAGTATCTGTGCTTTCTATTTTTTACATTTTTAAAACAAATGTTACTTGTTCCTCTTGGCTTGTGTTTAATGTTTCAAATATTTATTTCACATCATGTGCACCATCAAAGGCGCCATCCACATCTAGTGAAAACTAGTGTCATATAATACAAACACCCATAGGTTACCTATTCATCAAATTTGTGCTGACGCCAAAGGAAATCATCAGAAGCAAGCAGGTGTTACTTTATACTTTTATACTTTAAGTAGCTGTGGAGCACGTACTTTTTCACTTTTACTTGAGTAAAGAGGTCAAGTTGATACTTCAACTTTTAAAAGAGTGTTTTTAAACTGCTGTATTTATACTTCTACTTAGCCAACAAATGTGTGTACTTTTGACACCACTGGTCAGCGCTGATTGGTACCCGGTGGTGAGGGGCGGCACTGACGGCCTGGAGATCAGGAATATGCTCACCTAAAGAGCCATCTACATTGGAACATGGCTGCCCATGACCGTGCTCACTGCACCTTACCTAGCCTTCTCCACCGAGGGCGCGTGCCGGTGCGTCTACCCGGTGGAGAGCACTCGCCAGTGGACAGTGGTCATCCACGGGTTTCGATGCTGCCTAAGCTGGTATTCCTCGCCTGCTGCTGTGCCGTCACCTCCACCTGCGTGTGGGAGGGCTCTGGGAAGAGGTCGGCGAACGAGAAGGCAACCAGGACAGGGGCAAGCCACCTCTTCTGCTTCTTCGTCTTCAGGCTACCATACTTGTTCAACTTGGGCGCGTAGCTCTCCTTCTACGAGGCGTTGGCCCATCTGCATGGCCAAGCTGCTGGTCCATTACAATGCCAACGAGGTCAGCATTGAAACCTCCACATGCTCCTGGCTGCCTACAGCTGCCTCTGGACAACGGCCCCTTTATTTCTGATCATAAGTGGTACCGTTGAAAAGGTTAGGGTA